TTCCCTTGACCGGAACCAATCCTGGGACCCTTGAGTCCGCAGGCCGACGCTCTATCCACTGAGCCAAACTGGTCAGGGCTCTTTTTTCAAGTTTGATGCCTTCACATTTTCCCCAGCTTTACTGAGATATAATTGACATATATAACATATAAGATGTAAGTCTAAGGGGACAATGCGTTGATCCGCATATATACATCGCAAAATGATTCACTAACACCTGTATTACATCACATAATTATTCTTTATTTTTTTGTGGTGAGAAAAGTTAAGATCTACTCTCTTAGAGATCTAGCTATTTTCAACTTTTCCTGAGTTAATAAACAGGCCCACCACCTCCAGTGAGTCCCATTAGAATTGGGTTCCCCCACCCCCTCAAACCACCTCCACCAAACAACAGGATTAAGATAGGTGACGGCAATGCCTCAGGTGACACCAGACAGACCCTAAGAAAGATGCGGGCAGCACCAGATGAAGGACACAGACAGGGACACAGTTCAGTGGTTTATTCTCAGACTTGAGAAGCCGATGCCCTGGGGAGGTGGGGGGAGGGGGTCATGCTAGAATCTCTCCCATCATATCCCAGCCTTCTGTGAGGAGGAAGCAGATTAAATATATAACAGGGGATTTTCCCTTTTAATACAGATCCCGGTATAAATAGGACAGCACCATTAGGATCCTGATTGACCCCGCATCTTGGTCCCCCAGCCATCTGGCTTGGTGAGCTATGAGGGGGCCTGTATTCAGAGCTGGGCTGAGGCAGCCAAAGGAATACACAGCTCAGTCCAGGCAAGTCTCCCTTCCCTCTGTGGTCTGACTTCAGTTCCTTCTCTCTGAACCCACCTGAAAAGAGGAATGAGGGGAGGGGCCCAGCCTGGGATCAGGAGACATCCAGTGCTTAACTAGGGGGAAGGGTAGCACCAAAGGGTGTCGGGGCACTGCCTGAGAAGGGAAAGACAGGTGTGGGGGCACTCAGCTCTGAATTAGAAGTTCGTGCGTGGGAGATCCAGAGTGGGAGTTGTGGGTGGAATGGGCAGGGAGGGGAGAAAGACTGCATCACTCCAGCAGGGGCTGGCGGGGGAGGCTGGACTCCTGGGCCAGGGGAGTCCAGCCCGCAGCCCCGGGAGTGGAGAAGGGACATTGTCTGACCATGACGAGCAGACTTCCCTCTGAGTCCACAGGCACAGGAGACGATAAATATGGTGGCTTCAAAGCCTCAGCACCAAGTGTGCCCCAGCTGGGGCTCCCTCGTGGCCCCGCCCGCGCCCAAGACGCTCAGCTGCTGAAGCAGACGGGCCCCAGTTCAAACCCAAACTTCTGGTTGGTCTGGCCGAAATCGGTGGCCGCCACGTCCCACAGGGGCAGGAAGCCCGCTCGGGAAGAGCTGAACTCCAGGAGGGTTTTGGTCTGTCCCTTCCGGAGCTGGCGGGGAAAGACACAGATGGGGAGTCAGGGGGGGTAGGGGGGGGGAGCGAGGCCGCCCCTCCCTGCCCAGCCAGCCCCTGCCCCTCTCCCTTACCCGGCAGCCGTCATAAGGGACAGTGACGGTGGCTGCTGCCGTCTGGTTGAAGGACAGCTCCTGTCCGTTGGTCCCCAGGAAGCGAAGGGAGCGGCCGTGGTCGCCGGCAGCCTCATCCAGCCAGGCAGCCGCGTTCTGGCAGGAGTAGGCGAAGCTCTGGCGGGCGCGGGCGCTCAGCAGCTTCAGGAAGGTCAACTGCACCACGTTCACCGGGGACCCGTCGGCGTCCACATAGGAGAACTGGGGTGGGACAGGGCAGCAGGTGAGGGCGCCCCCTGCGCCCAGCCATTGGGCCACTCATCGCTCTCCTGTGAGACCCTGGGCATGGCGGCTACTGAGCACTGAAAATGTGGCTCAGTGGTTAGAGCATGGGCCCATGCACTGAAGGGTCTCGGGTTGGACTCCTGGTCAAGGGCATGTACCCAGGTTGCAGGTTCGCTCTCCGCCCCCCAGTCAAGGAGCAGGTGGTGGAGGCCTGTGCAGAAGGCACCCAGTCCGTGTGTCTCTCTCACATCGATGTTTCTCTCTCTCTCTCTTTCTCCCCCTCCCTCTCTCCCTCCCACTGTCTTTGAAAAGCAATGGAAGAAATATCTTCAGTTGAGAGGATTAACCAAAAAGAAAAATGTGCCTGAGACTGAGAAACTATTTTTTTAACTGTATTTGTTTAATTCTAATTTTTAATTTAATTATTTAATTCAAATTCTTCACTTAAATTCATAACTCTTAACTTAGCCTCCACCCAGTTATCGGAAAGCTTAGGCTTGGAACAAACTGACTATGGGGGTCTACTTTCGCAGCTGCAGGTTTTATGAAATGTAAGTATAGATGGAGCATTTCCGATGAAATTTAGCTTCCAGAGTACAATGTCCTGTGAAAGCAAAACTTCTATTTTAAAAAATGTAAAATGCCTCCATGATCTTCATATTGCTCTGCCAATATTCTGGATATGTTGGGTTAAATAAAGTATATTATGCACATATCACTGGCTTGGGACAATGAGCTCCATAATGCAGCCTTCGACTTCCTTCTCTTTCCTGTCTTATTTCCACATCCCCTGGCTGATATTTTCTGGAATCGCCTCCTAGATCTGAGAGGAATCCAAACCAAGATACCGACTTACATTATACCACAGCTTTATTTGTTTCCTTGGACCGTCTGTTTCCTTGGTTATATTCCCAGGAGAATATCAACTTCATGAAGTCAAGAACTGTGTTTAATTTGCTGCTATGTTCCCAGTGCTTAGCATATAAATATACATTACATAAAGGAGTCCCAAACTGAACCCAAGATCCCTCGCCCCTTAAACCTGGTCTTCTCCCTTACGTACCTCAGCGTCTCATCAGACATCCTATTCCCCAGTCAGGAACCTGGGCAGGCCTGTCTCCTCCCGCCCCTGCAGCTCATCAAGGACTAGGTTCTATTAGCTTGCCCTCTTTGCTGTTGTTCCAAGTCATGCCCTCCTCTCTATCCCCATAGCACCAGCACCAGCCTGGATCCTCTCCTCACTCTCCTGGATCAGCACATCCGTCTCTTCCTGGTCTCCCAGGCTCCAGTCTCAATAACCAGCACCAGCAGCCCCAGAGGCATTTTTCTAACAAAGAGATGTGATCTGGGCCCCTCCCTCACTTAAACATGCCCCATGGCTCCCTACGGCCCCCAGCTCTTTCTGGGGAGATGTGCCTTGCCTCCTCCCACCTCCCAGCCTTCCTTCTAACCACATTCCCCCTTGCACTCCCTAAAGCACAGCACGTGGCTTTTCCTTCTTTAAATTCACCGGGCCCTCTCTTGACTCTGGGCCTTTGCACATGCTGTTCCCTTGCCTGCAACACTTTTCCTTGTCCCCCTGAACTTGCTAGCCCAGCTCCCTCTTTCCGTCTCAGCTGAGCTGTGACTTCGCCCAGGGAGCCTCAGGTCCTTCCAGCACTGACTCTGGTTTCCACCATGCCCCGTGCTTCCCCCACCACACATCTGATGCTGCCCACCCCCCTCCCTCCCCAGCCTACAGCACACCAACAAGGCACGTCTGTCCTGTTCCTCTCACCCCTCGAAGCCCCTCTCCCAACACCGCACGCTGGTTCCCGCACTTTTCATACCATCTGCCCCCTCGGCCTTCGGCAACTCACCTTCTTCCCTCGACGGAACGTGCTGTACCAGCTTCCCGGCTTCTCCTTGGACCAGGAAGCCAGCTTCACCTGGGAAAGGGGAGGGAGGGTCAGTAGCAGGCGCCCACCATGTCCTTTCTGCAGCTACCTCCGATCCATGAAGGCTGCAGGTGGTAAGTATCTGGGACTGACGGGCCGTTGTCTGGCCATGGGAGTGGGCTTGGCTGGTGCACAGGGCAAGGCCCAAGGGGAGGGGACCCCGCGCTCTGAGGCAGCCCTCAACTGATGCTGACAAGAGGTGACCAGGTGGTGGCTAATGCCCCAGCTTCCCCTCTGCCCAGGTGGGCCATCTTCCAGGTGCCTCTACCCTGTTTCCCAGAAGTCCCCAGCAGAACCGAGCCTTGGGTGTTCACTGGTGACATATTAACAATACCAGCTGCCTCTCTCCATCCCTCTCGCATCCCCCTGTCCCCTCCTGCTGCCTCCTGGGATCACCCCCTCAATAAATGACTTGTCCACAGTCTAGGGAACCCAAACCTAGAACCTTCCTCACTCCCTCTCCAGCTTCTGTCTGAGCAGGAGGAAGGTGAGCTGGTGTGGGATCAGGCCTGGGATGTCAGCAACTGTGTAGAGATCAAGTCCTGCATTCCAGCCCCTGTACCTAGGAGGTCTGAGTGCCACTAACCCAGGACTCTGACCAGTTAAAAATAATCATATATCAGAAGAACATTACTATGCACTTTTGCAGGTCCTATGCTGGCTGCGTGTTTTACCTGCAGTAGAGATATTAGTGTGAAGCCAGTGTTTAATGAGTATTTCCTGATACGGGCCTCGGTACTGCGATTGCACAGCCACCCTGTGGGGCAGGTGCTTGCTTATGCCCATTTTACAGATTAAAAGACTGAGGTGACAGGCTCGGATTCCAGTCCAGGTGGTCCAGGGCTGGTGCTGCTCGCCCTCTTCTAAGCCTGGTGCTCGGTGTGAGAGGCGGTTAGGCTCAGGGCTGCCTGAGGGAGGAGCCCAGGATTCTGGGGGACCAGCTGACCTCACCTCTCTGCCTGCAGCCTGGAGGACAGTGAGCCCACAGGGCCTATAAGACAGCAGGTCAGAGGAGGCAGTAGCCTGGTGGTTAAGGGCTGGGGCTCTGGGGGCAGACTGTCATGGGTAATCTGGTCATCTCTCTGTGCCTCAGTTTCCCTGTCTGGGAGATGAAGACAGAACTAGCACATCTGGTAGTTAGGGCTCAGTGAGTGGATGCATCTAAGTTACTAGAACGGGCCTGACACGCGTCTGGGCAAGCTCCCTACAAGCGGCGGGGGGCGGGGGGAGGAGAGGAGGGAAATTTTGTTCTCCGTTGCAGCCCCAGCACGTGGCACACACTAGATGCTCCATAAACGTCGGTTGCGGGAAGGCTAAGATCCCTGACGAAGCCTGTGTGGGGGCGGGAGGCGGAGCAGCCCTTCCCGGTGGTGGGAGGATGGGCGGGATCCGGTCCCCGTTCCTCCGCCCACCGACGCCCCCAGAGGCACTCACGGTCTCAAACTTCTTGTCCGGGTAGAGGCAGGTCTCTCCTCCC